TTTGACTGACAGCTTTGTTTCACCATATTTGACTTTATTCTCTTCCAAAAAAAATAATAAGAACTAAGGAGTAATAAAACCCAAAATGTGTAAATTTTGTTGTAAAAAAGAGAGGAAAAAAAGTGCTCTAAAGTATACAACTGCAAGTGTGTTGAGGGGTGTTAAATAGATGCCCATATTAATGTTTTTGGTTGGATCATTGAACACAAGTGTTTGCAGTCTCACTGTTTGATGTCCACTTTGTATGCTTTGATACTGTGACTTGAGCAACTGTCTCTAGGATGATAATTGTAATCTATTAACTGGTGATTTCTTACTGATTTTTTTTTTGTAGTTCTGTATTAATTGTACCCTTACACTGCTGTGTTTTGTTTTGTTTTGTTTTGTTTCTCTTTTTCCTTTTAAATAAAATTTTTAAAAAAACAGTTGTGCAGGTGATTGAAACCTCCTTTTGATTACATTAAAGATGAAGATCCAGAATATTCTTACTTTTCAGGATCTAGCATTGATCTTCCAGAAAGCATGTGTTCAGAGAGATTGTGCTTGACTTGAAACAGAGATAGATTTTTAATGTGCTGCATGCCTCGAGTACACTATGCATGTTATCTCTGCTGTACCAAAAGTGACACATCATTAGGGGAAATAACATACATCTTGAATTAGAATTTTTGACACAGAGCTGCTGGATGATATGCATTCAATCTAAAAGATATAATGAGGTATTGGATCTATATTTTTAGGAGCATATCAGAGGTATTTTCATAGAAGGAGCCTCACATACACACACACTTTGGTCTGTATCTCTTTGTGCTGTTGGCTTCCATGGGCTGAACAGCTGTTCTTGTCCTGATTTTTCTTCCATACCATTTCTGTCTTTAGCCCACTGAATATGGACTAATAATCTAAGCCACAATAAAATCTCTTGTTCTAAGTTCTGCATGTGAGGTGTTTTGTAGCAGAGATGAGAAACTGTCTCATTGATTATTATACCAAAATGAAGTAAAGTGACATAACTTCTCGTTTAGGATTAGCAGAAGTGGTCCAAATGGCTAATTCCCATTTGTGTATTATTCAAAAGGATAAAAATGAAATTCTATGCCCTTAAAACAGATAATATTAGGGTGAGAATAGAGATAAGTTACAGTAAAGTTAGTGAGTCACACAACTGAAGAATTTTGAAAGACTGGAATAGTAAACATGAAAAAAAAAGCTTGATTATGCTAGACTCATCTTTCTAATTTGCATTAACAGTTGACATGTGATTTTGTTTTACAACCTACTTAAGATGACTTCAAATTTGGTTTGTGAAAGGGTTGCTGGCCCAGACCGGACACTTTAGCCAGGAAAAGCCTCAGCCGGAATTAGGGAGTTCCTGCCTCCCCCGCCCCTAGAGATTTACCTGTAACCCTATACCCCCACCCTTGAAAATTACCTCTGGTGCGAAACGTGTGCCAATGAGCTACCTGTGCATCCCTAATACCCCCTAGGTTCCACCCCAGACAGAGGCTACTTATGTGCCTCATTCCATGTGTTCCAGAGAGTGTGTTCCAGGGAGAGATCGCCGGCCCCTGGGTGGAGATGCTGCGCCCCAGGGGGGTCGGGGGTCTCTCCCTGCATTCCCGAAATAAAGGTTACTTATATTTTATACTTCTTATCTTTTCAGCCACCACCACTGGCCACTCCTTCCCCCTCTTCCCCTCCTCAGACCTAATAGTTTGAAATCTAGCAAGGCTGATAATGTAACTTATAAAACTTGGATATATATTATTTACGGAGTTTGAGTGTGTGATATATTGTATTAAGTTGTGTATACTACTGGCTTCTGAATAACAATTCTCAAATTTGTTTCTCATACAATAATTTAAAATACAAATTAACAAGCAATGTACTTGAATGACTTACCAAATATTAATGTTGAAGCAAAAGCTATTTTAGTGACTAATGCATATTTTTATTATAGCTATGTGTTGATATGAATATTCAGTTATTGAAAACCAAGTTCTGCATTTGAAATACTTTTAAAAACTAGATAATAAAAAGAAAATTGAAACAAAAATGCAAGATGAGAAACAAAATAAAAGTAATGCTTAAGAAATTAAAACACAAATAAATAACTCAACAGAACGAAAGTTGATTCTAGTAAAAAAAAAAAAAAGAATAATTGACAGCAATGAATACATTAAAAGAAGTTGACCAAGACTCATTTCAAAATCATAACTAAAATTTTTTCCATTTCTTCAGCTGCATGGAAATTTTCCTTATGAATATATAGTTTATTGTTCAATGTTCTACACCAATGTATTTGAATGTTTACTTGAAACCCACGAACTACAGGAAATAGCAAGAGTTCTAAGGAAAAATAAAACAAATTGGCCAAATACTACTAAAAATATGGATTGCTAGTTTAATACTTCTCCAAAATATTTATATGAATTACATATTAAAAGAAACTCTAAAATACTCCCAGTTATATCATCCATAGTATACACATGAAGGAATTGGTCAGCATTCTACTGACATACTTTCATGTGTATGTTCATTGTGCACAACGCATTGCAGCCAATATATTGAAACAGTCTAGGATGCCATTAGAAACTGAATAAATACATGTATCATATATGCGCATTAATGTGTTCAGTCATAAAGTAAAATGCAATTATGTCATTTTCAGAACAATAATGAACTGGAGATTCTAATGCAAATGAAATTAACCAGGCTCATTCAGAGAAGTATCACTCATTTTTCCCAGATATGTGGGATTAACACAGATGGCATAAGGTGGAAGGGAATCTGTTACTGAAGAAAGGGAAAGGAGTAGGTAGGAATGGGAGTAAGGGAAGAAAAGGCTGGGAAAACATTTTATTATATATACATAGAAAATATTACAATGAAGCCTATTATTTCCTAAAATTATTAGGCACTAATAAAATTTATTAAAAGTAACTGATATGAAGATTCAAAACTGGAAAAATGTACCAGTGGTGAAATATCAGTGCTTAAAATAGCATGCTAATGGTGATTTACTTAAACCCCTTCAGAGAAAGTAAAAAAGTGACACAATCAGTTATGTTAAGATATCTAAAGCCTATGACTTCTATAGATGATTACTCTATCATAGAGAATGATAAACTTGACTCATTTTTATGAAAACTGATACACCTTGAGGCCATAATGTAAAGTACATTTGAGACATGAGTGGAAATATTGCATACTTTCTCTCATTTGAAAAACTCAACATGTAAAACATGTAAAAACACAAAAGTAATGATGGGGGAAAGAAAAGGGAGGCAGAGTTACTGTAAACCAGCACTGAAAGTTTATCAAAAAGTGTTGACAGGATAGTTGTCTTACATGTTTTATATGTCATGTGTCCTAGGACTGTTGGGCCACTCTATATATAGCAATAAAATATATAAGGATTTATAAGACAATAAATGAATTAGAAGCTGGCACAATAAAATGAGAGTAGAGAAGGAGAAAAAGAATTAATGTGTGTTATGTACATGTACCAATTCCCAGCAGTGAATGAATGCATTATGTACTGGAAACATGCATACATTAATATTTTTAAAAAGAGACAAAGACCACATGATGCTGCTGACAGCTGACAACGTCATTACAAGAAGCTAAGTTTACAGACCACTTTTCTTTGGGAACTAAATTGGCATAATGTTTCCCAAAATGACACTAATGTTCTAAAAAGAGAATCCATAGCCAAATTCAGTCTATTAAGTATAATTTAGTGTTCTAAGTCTGTAAAAAATAGAAATGGTATCAATGAATGAAGAAAATATAATAAAGTTGAAATCCTTTCCATATCTTACAAATAAAGAAAAGCAACACCTAATAAATTAAGGATATGAAGAAACTTCATACAGTATAATTAATATTTATATGACTCTAAAATAAGCCACACATTTTGGAGTTAAATTCTGAAAGCAAATGTCACAATACAATACTCATTGTGACTGCTTCTAGCAGATATTCTACATGTCCCTGATGATACAAAACACTCAGAAAAAACATATAAAATCAATCAAGTATGAGAAAAAAGAATTATATCTGGAATAATTTTATGCAGTTTTGGTTTATAAATATAAAGCACACACACATTAATAATTGAACATTTAGTGGTTGAACATAAAAGTGAAAAGTAATCTATTGTTACAGATGAGTAATTACACACTCAAAGATGATATTACACAAATTCACACTTAATAAATCTTAAAATATTGGTGACATACTTATAAAATTAAAAAGTTTTGAAAGTACAGAACACTCTCCTGTAAAAGTCCAAAATATCTGTCTAATAATAAACCTGAAATAATTGAAGAAAGCAAATTTATGGATGGAAATGTTCAACAATGGTAGGATGTTAACATTTTACAATTTGTTCTATATAAACTATGTAATTGTTATACAAACTGCAACATGATTTTTCAAGTAAGCCTCAAACATTCATGGAGTGGGAGAACATGTCCTAATGAACAGTGTGTAAATCTCATTGTAGTACTAGGGTTTCTCAAGTGGTTATTCACTGAACATATCTGTAAACCATGAATTGACAGAGAGTAGCTAGAGACAGATATATATATTATATTGTTCTGTGAAAATATAGAGCTGTAAAGTGCAGGATTGTAAATATAACATTCCTTTGCTGGGTATCTAGAAAATCAAATGAAAATCTGGACATGTTGATGCAAAACTGGTATCCCAGGCACTCCATGAGGCTGACACAAAAGGATCACAAACTTGAGTGCAGCCTGGGAAATCCTATGATTATGATTTTTCAAAACACAAAAATTTTTGAAAGGAGAGTTACATTCAAGGTTCTTGCCTAGAAATTGAAAGAAAACTCTTTTAAATAAAAAAAAAACATGAAATAGAAACCAAAGAACACAAGTGTTTTTTTAGGAAGCCCTATGAAATTTTGTAAATGGTTGAGTGAATAGGGGAGAATTAATGAACTTCAGCTAATGACAATTTGAATTTCTCGGTAGATATGGAACAATGTGTAAAGTGCCCTGATGACCAGTATGCCACAATACAGCAAGACCATTGCCTCCAAAAGTTGGTGACTTTTCTTGCTTATGAAAACCTCATGGGGAAGATGCTGGCTGGCACAGCCCTCAGTATCACTGTCCTCACAGTTGCTGTTCTTGTGCTTTTTGTGAAGAATTGAGACACTCCCCTTGTCAAGACTAATAACCAGGCTCTCAGCTACACTCTGCTCATCTCCCTCACCTTCTGCTTCCTCTGCTCCTTGCTCTTCATTGGCCATCCCAACACAGCCACCTGCATCCTCCAGCAGACCACATTTGCAGTTGTCTTCACTGTGGCTGTTTCCAATGTTTTGACCAAAACTATTACTGTGGTTCTGGCCGTTAAGGTCACTGCTCCAGGCAGAAGGATGAGGCTGTTGCTGGTATCAAGGGCACCAAACTACATCATCCCCATCTTTACTCTGGTCCAACTCACTCTCTGTGGAGTGTGGATGGGAACAAACCCATCCTACATTGATGTATATGCACACTCTGAACCTGGCCACATCATCATCATGTGCAACAAGGGCTCCCTCATTGACTTCTATTGTGTTCTAGGATACCTGGGCTCCCCAGCCCTGGTCAGCTACATGGTGGCTTTCATAGCCAGGAACCTGCCTGACACATTCAGTGAAGCCAAGTTTCTGACATTCAGCATGCTGGTGTTCTGCAGTGTGTGGATCACATTCCTCCCTGTGTACCACAGCAGCAAGGGGAATGTGATGGTGGCCATGGAGGTCTTCTCTATCTTGGCCTCTGGTGCAGGGATGCTGGACTGCATCTTTGTCCCTAAATGCTATATTATTTTGTTAAGACCAGAGAGAAATTCTCCGCATGGGTTCAAAGATAAAACACATTCTGGAAATAAGAAATCTTATTAGTTAAAAAAAAAAAGTCATTTGTAAAGAATACTGCTTCCAGGGCAAATTTGCAACACTTTATGGGTTAGTTGTTAGATTCAAACATGTAGTCTACATCAGTAAACAACTGACTTACTTTTTCCTATAATAGTCTTGCTGTTAACAACAACTGCAAAAATAACTTTTTAAATTTGCATTAGTCTGGAAATTTCTTGTTGTATAAATTTTTCATAAAACTTTTTGTGTTTGACTATTTTACTTAGTTTTATCTTGTATTTAACTTGTCATTTTCAGTCATTTTTATGATGAAAAAAAATTTTACATCAATAAATTTCAGAATTTTCCAATGCATCCCATTACATTTTTCACTATTTAAGAATTAGTGTCCTCTAAATATTCTGATTCAACTTTATTTTGACATTTGGTTTTGAATTTCCTTTCTTACAAATCCTTGTTAGTATTTATGACACCAAATGCTCTTGCATTTAAAATGTCAATGAATTGAGTTTATGTGTTAAATTCAGGAAATTTCTGTAGGGCATTACAGTGAATTTTTAGCATGTTTTTTGAGATCTCTCTGTTTATCTTGTTTAAGTTTCATTTTCTAATGTGAGATGTGTCAACATGTCTTTCTCTTGGTTTATATTTAATAAACAATTTATTACTCATAATATTTTTCTACTGATATTTATGCCTGATTATTTTATAACTTATCATGATTGCAAAAACTAATAATTATATCTATCTTTTTAATATACTCAATGTTTTATAAGGGAGCAACTATTTGTTGAATCAATTGAACAAAATTTTGGCTCCATACTTGTGTTTTTGAATCCCTTATATTTTTTATGCATATGATTTGTGATTCTCTAGTTGTTCTCTTTAATCTATCTTTTGTTTCTTCTGTACTCTTGTCCAACTCACTCTCTGTGGAGTGTGGATGGGGACAAACCCACCCTACATTGATGTAGATGCACAACCTGGCCACATAATCATCATGTGCAACAAGGGCTTCCTCATTGTATTTACAATGCCAGCATGGCTTTTTGTTAAAAGATGACCCGATACTTGCTGTGAATTTGGCAGAATTTTCAGCAATTTATGGTTAACCTATTTCTTGCTTAGTAAAAATTTTTCATTGGTTGTAAATTTAGATATTTTATTAATATTTAATGTTGATTACTAAAATGTAAAAACTTAATTGTATGCATTTTGCTGTGTTCACAATGTTCTTTTCTAAAACAACTTTGAGCATATTTGACTTTAATGTTTGCATATATTGTCAGCTAATTGATCAATAGTATTTTTTCATAGTTCCATTCTTGTTGAAGTTTTAATTTTCATATACAGTCAATATAATTTCTAAAATGGAAGGAGAAACTAGATGGAGTAGATCACTGAATCATTTCATGGTACCTTGTTATTTTTAAGAAATCTTTGTTTTCAGGATTGCTAGCTGCAATCCTGTCTTCTAGGTCTGAAAGTCTATTCTCATTCTCTTTCAAGCTGTTTTGCCAGATTTCATCCAACTTTTTAATTTCCTAGATATCTCTTCAAGTCTGTTTCATGCATTGTAAGCCCGTTCTCTATTATTCATTTGAGGTTTCCATGATTTTTCTATGATTTTCTTTTTATCTATGTCTTCTTCAGATATGCTCAGCAATTATTTCATGATTGTGATTTCTTATTTTCCTGAAACATTATTTCTGATCTCATTACATTTACTATCTCATTAAATTGTTTCTTCAGTTCTCTTGTTATTCTTTCAGAGATTTCATGTATTTGTCTTCTATTTTTTTAACAATACTATCTCCTAGAGTTTTGCTGTGTAGACTAGAGGTCTGAGACTGCCTTTTTATCCTTTGTATTTACATTTTCCTGTGTTCATTCTAAAATGCTACTTTTGTGGACCCAGGTGCTTCCCACATTGACTGCTGTTCTGCATGTAGGGAAATGGGACAGGCACTGGGTTTCTTTGAACCTAAGCTCCACAGGGGGTATCAAGATATGGGGTAAGCTTTTCCAGATTCATACAGCTACACTGAGGCTTCCCCAGTGGCCAGGGGTGTGTGGTGGCATGGCTGCTACTTTTCTCAGCATCTCTATCTACACTGGTACTTCCATGATGGTGGCACACATCTCTGATTCTCCTGGGGTTTGCTGCACAAAGAAAGCAAGGGTATCCAATGGAAACCTGCAGGCACTAGGCATATCTGGCTGTTTTTCCCTACCCTTGCTGACTACATGCAGGAAGAAAGCCTTCCAATGGTGGTGATTGGTGTGCAGCCACGGACCTGGTTTTGTGTCCCTGCCTGCACAGACTGACCACAGGGAGCCAGCCTTTGGATGATGACAGCATTGCACAAGGGTATATCTGGCTGTGTGTTCTTTCTCATGCTGGCTATCCCCAGGAAGTAAGCCTTCTGATGGTTGCAGTGGATTTAGAGGGGTGTATCTGGCTGTGTCTTCATGCATGTTGGCAGCGCACAGGAAGATGGTTTGATGTTCTTCATCTGCTACATCTTGAACTGCATGCCACAGTTCAACATTTTCTTGAGGATAAAGAGGGGAAGTAAGAATAAGATACAGATCACTGTAGGTTAAATCATAGAATTCAATCACAAATTCAAGGTCTTTGATGTATTTATAAGGGTCAGCAGAGAAGCCCACTCACTAGAATATTTGGGAAATGTCAAAAAACAGAGAAAGGCTCATTAATGTGAAATAAGCCTTGAGAACCAGCCACATTGCAAAGAGGAAGCAGTAGGTGTGGGAAATGCCATCAAGAAGGAGGTTAGGAGGGGCCAGAAGTTGGTGACAGAAGGGAGGGATCAAAAAATGGCAGTGGAAAGGAGAGTGAAGAATACAGCCCAGGGGGAAGTGAGAAGATAGCAGAAGGTGGTAAGAGGAAGGAGATGAGGGAGAGGCAGAGAAATGACAAGATGTCTGCAGATGAGAGGGGCATCAAGATGGTGGCAGGTGAGTGGAGGAATAAGATGTCAGAGAGGGGAAGAAGTGACAAGATGGTGGAGGGTGGGTGGCAGAAGTACTGCTGTGGTATGCTGGAGGACAAAATGGTGACAGTGGAGTAGAGGAGAGATCAGAAGAAGGGATGTGGGGAAAAAAGATGGAGGAAAAGAGAGAATACAGCAGACAAGATGGAGGAGATGCAGACTGGGACAAAAGAGAATGGAAAGAGTCTTGTGGGTATGGGGGAGGAGCAAGAATGGCATGCAAATCATCTATAGGATCAATGAGATTTTTGGGTGTAGGGGATTTGGCAGTGTGGAGTGAGGCAAGAGTACCTGGGTTACCTCACATGTCTGAATAAGAGAGGGACATTCCTGGAGAGCAAAAAAGGCATGGATATAAGGAATCTCTTACTGCTTGCTATTATGGTAGCAGAACTTCACTAATTCACAAAGGGTGGCAAAATTGAAGGTATCTGCCTCTGACCAGTGGTCATTATCAATATTTTAAAGTGGCCAAGATGTCTGCAAATAAAATAACTTTCTGCACTTTAAGTCTCCCAGAGAAATATTATACCCAAGAACAAGATGGCCATAGTTGAGATAAGTTGCAACATTCCACTTCAGTACTGCTTCAGGCAAGGGAAAAAGATTGGAGTAATCAGTTGTTGTTCTGTTTATGCCAAGATGAAGAATGCCTGAAGATCACAAACAATACTACAAGCCAGTGTCAAAGAATCAGGGGCTAGTAGGTGAAACAGGCAGCAACTTTTCATCTCCAATAATTTGAAGCAATAGGGTCTTATGACAGAATTAAAACACAATAATGCAGCTTTATCTGGAAGACATCTTTGGGAAACAGTCATTTCCTAAGGGTTCTCAACACTATCCATAAAGATACCTACCATAAACCATTTATAAGCATGAATGCATGATCAAAATTAAAATAAAAAACCAGAAAAGGAGAAAACACAACAGCCATATGCAAGTCCCGATTTGCAGCTCTGCAAAGGCAACCCAGAGGGCAATGAGGTGGAATGATTAAAACCTACCTGGACTCTCTGAAGTAGTATAATGGAAGTGACAAAAAAGATAAATAAGGCACTAGAAAAAATGCAAATCAGAAATAATTTCAGAGAAGATGGGCATAATGAAGGCTATAATTAATGACTCCACCAAAAATACACATAAAAAACATAGAGGATCTCAGGAAAATGAAGAAAACCATGAATGCCCAATACAAGACAGAAATTCATTAAACAGATTCAAATAGATATCCAGGAGATTAAAACTTCCATTGACAGGATACACAGCAGAATGAGCCAACATGAGGACAGAAAATCAGATTCAGAAGAATTTTTATTTGTCAGAATGAAGTGTTATTTTATTCAAAAAAGTAAGGATCACGAAAAATTAACCCATCAGCTGCTGCAACTATGAAGAATAATGTAATCAATGAAAAAGCTCTCAATTAAAAAGCAAAGAGAAAAACATAAAATACCTACTCACCAAAGTAACAGCAGAAAATATCCCAAACATGAAAAAATGACATGCAGATATATAAGATATATACAACTCCAAGGAGACATAATCAGAAAAGATCTCCTCCAAGCCAGGCATAGTGATGCACACCTATAATCCCAGCACTCTTCAGGCTGAGACAGGAAAATCACTGTGATTTCAAAGCCAGGCTGGGCTACATAGTGAGTTTAAGGCCAGTTTATGCTACAAAGAAAGATCTTGTCTCAAAAGATGAAAACTAAGCAAATAAAATCTACCCAAAAGTCATATAATACTGAAGATTCCATAAATTTGACAGAAAAACAGAATATTAAAAACTGCTAGAGAAAAACAAACTACTTAAGCAGGAATGCCATTAGAATAATAAGACTTCTCCATACAAACACTTAAGTCAAGCAGCTTGAAGTGCAGTACTTCCGGTCCACAAAGAAAACAAACTTCAACAAAGATTGATATATCTTGCAAAACTATATTTAAAAATTGATGCAGAAATAAGATACTTCTATGAAAAAGAACAACTGAAGAAATTCA